TACAAAAGCGAGTTTTATAATTCAGTTTTTACATTTTATAAAATTAAAATTTTAAATATTTTTTATGAATTTTTTTCTATTTTAGGTTTTCAAAATTTATTTTTTTCAAAAAAAAGATATGTTATGCTTTCTAAAAATTATCTTTATTTATAATTTTATTAAGATATAAATTAAATAGGTATTTCACTATAGTTAATTAGGAGGAAAAAATTTAGAAAAAATAAGAAATTATAAGATTAATTAATAATTAATAAAATTAACAAAGAATGAAAAAATAAGAAATCATAATATAAAGAAAAAGGAAAAGAAATCAAATAAAATAAAAAGAACCATAAAATTTTAAATTAACTTTTATAATTAAAAATACTACAATGTAAAACGAATAAATAGCTTTTATTAAGTGTAAGTTTTAATAGCAAAAAATGAAGAATATATATCAAATAAAAAATGAATAACTAAATAATTAATTAAAAATTGAAACGAAAATTAAGTTAAAATATAAAAAATTTTAGTTTTAATAAAAATCAATAAATAATGATAAAAATTTCTAAAATAAAAATTATTTATTTAAATATATAAAAAATATTCATAATAATAAAAATAAAATTAATTAATAAAATATACTAGAGATCAATATGCAGAGCTTAATGAGATAAAAGTGAAGAGCTTTTAAACTTTTTTTATTAATAAATATTAATTTAAAGGATATTAATAAAATAATTAATAATTACTTCTTCTAAATTATTATATTTTTTAATCTATTATTTCATTTATTTATTTTTTTCAAAAATATTGAATAGCAATTTATGAAATTTAATTAATTAATTAATAATAAATGATTAAAAAGAACAAATAAAAATAATAATTAATTAATTATCAAATATTAATTTATATATTTGGTTTTATGAAGAGATTTCACAGTAAATTAATTTAATATTCACTATTCAAACTTAATATTTGTATTTTAAAATTATAAAAATATTACAATTATTGTCTTTTAAAAACTTAAAAATAAAATAATTAAAAATAATATTAATATATGATAGATTTCACAATCTATTAATATATAAATTAATTAATTAATATTTAATTAAATAAAATAAGAAAAAGAAAAACAACATAAAATTAATTAACAATAAATTTATATTTTATTTATATTTATAAAATAAATTCAAAATTTAAATATTTATTTTAAATCTAAAGTAAACAAATAAATATATAATTACATAAAATTAAAAAATTAATTAATTAATTTATTTTTTTATTTATTTTAACATGTAGCTTCTCAGCTACAGAAAAAATTTGCTGCAAATAGCAATAATACCACATTAATTTTAAAAAGGTGATATTTGTTTTTTAAGCGAAAGACAAAAATTTAAAAACATAAATTTGGTTCAAACATCTATATTAATTATTGTTTATTTTAAATCTAATAAAGCATACAATTTACTGAAAATATTTTCGGATTCATTGTTTTTTATGTATTTTTGAATCAACTAGATCATACAAAATACCTTTATTAGCTCTAAGAAAACCATCTCTATTAGAAAAGATACTATAAATAGGATTATAAATTAATTCGACTCACTTGGTGTTTTACCGCTAGATACTGCTAAAACAAGATAGAAATAAACTAAGCTTATTCCTATTTGCAAAATTAGAGATATTACTTTACCTATTGAACCCTTCTTGAATGCATATATAATTCCAAAAAAGGCGGTCTTCATTATTGAGCTGTTAATTATGGATATTACTATCTGCTAATCTAGCATATTATAACCTTAGAATAATATTGAAATAACTAAAGTGTGTAATACTTTTAAGTAAAGCAAAGTGAATCTTAATGGTCGTTAAAGGATATTATCATAAATACAAAAAATACTAAAGAATTAATGAAAGATGGCTATCTTTTTCACTTTAGAAAGTTACAAATAAGCATTGATTTTTTAGATTTCTTCTTCATCTTAAACCTCTTTTATTTAAGCTTGTGAGTTTGTTTGAGTTTTCATTTTTTCAATACTTCTAGTACTTGATTATGATTTAATTATTTATAATTAATTAGATTCAGCAGGCATCTCTTCATTCTTTTCAATAATTTATTCTTAACATTGCTTTAAAGTTCTTTAGGTTTGTAATATTTATGAGTTGTAGAATTTTTATCTTTTTCTTCTTCCATTATTATAAGTACGTATATTTTCATCAAAAGGTGATGAAATCTATTGATTTTACTAAATTTCTGGTTAGATTTTATTGTTGCTTTAAAGCTAATTATTAAAAGGAGGTTCCTGGAACACACCATTATTTATTATTTAAGAATTTTCACAAATGTCTTACTCTTAAATTTCATTTTACTATTAATTATTAAGTTCTTGATTATGAACTTTTGAGTATCGTCTTTTTACTGAGTATTTGTCTAAGTATTTTCCAATGATAAATAAAATAATTTGAATCAAAGTGAAACTCGTCAATAGCCAAAATACTACATACTTATAAAAGTTTTTAAAGTTTGCTATATTTAATAACCCTTATTCTCCAAATGCTGTCTATAGATTTTTATTTTTTAAGAGCATGTCATCAATATCTTCAATGATAGTTGTTGGTTTTTAAGATTCACATAAGCACATGTAACTATTTTAACTATTCTTACTGATCCCACAATTTTTTTTGCTCCATTAAAGATCATTTTATTAAAGACATGTCATATTATATAACTTACTAGAATTTGCATCATTAAACTAATAAACTATATTAGACTGATTAAAAGTTTATTAAGAAGATAAATTATAAATCTAGGGTGATATTACTTCATTCTTAGAGTAAGCGAAGTTTTAAATAATATTTTTGAATTGCTATGTGTATGACTAAAAATCTGAAGTATTTTAATAAATATTTTGCTTATAATTGTTTCTTGTGATGCTAAATATGCTAGTTTAATTTACTGAATTGTTTTCATCTGCAGTATTAATATATTTGAATAGATTCTTGTATTTTACTATATCTGATAAAAGTGTGGACAAGCTGCCATTTAGAATAATTTGCCCTTAGTTTGGTAAACTAATATTATTAAGCAGATTTCCTATCTAATTTGATATTTTATCGTAGGATTAATAATCTTCCTATGAGTTATTACTCCACAAACTAACACTTGAGTTTAGAATTTTAAAAGAGTCTACCATATTTTAAATTGGATTATCATTATTTTGTTGCAAATGGCTAAGATTACTACTTTATATACTTGAATTAGTATTTTGAAGTATTTTTTACAGTTAATCAAATATTTTATTTTTTTATGATGTAATATCGCTTTAGAATGATGAATTAAATATTAGTTATGATAACTAAGCAGTTACTTTGTTCGCAAATGTAGATAAAAGTGAGAATTTAGGTATTTAGAAAGACAATTACTATATATTTTAAGTCAGTAGACTAACTAAAACACTCAATTATTATGTATGTTAATTGCTTTTACTAATATCTTCTGCTATGATGCTTAAAGTCACTAGTTAGCTAGTGACTTAAATATTTGAGCTCTTTAAAGTTTATGAAGTGAGTTAATTGACCAGTTTATAATATTCGTCAGCTGATTTATTCTAAGCTTGAACCTATATTATAGAAGAGGTATTATAAACTCCTAGGTAAGAATCCATAACTTATGCCATAACAATTAGATTCCCATTAGGTAGTACTGTTTATATCGAGTTGTTTAAAGTCTAATCTTATATTTATCTTCTCAATATGTTCAAAGGAGTAACCAATTCTTGCTGGGAATCATCTACACTATTGTAATAGAAGAACTAGTAAGTTAGAGGAAGATCTTCATCTGTACAATTCAAAAACTAAATTTAAAAGATGGTCTCAAGCGCTATGCCCTACAAAGGATTAATATTTAAAATGCAATTCTAAGGAGGAATATTTATTTAAATGGTAATTATAGATGAGCTCGGCATAAAAAATAAAGGATTATAAACTGAAAATCTTATTTAAAGTGTTGGCTTTAAGGGATTTATTTTTTAAAAATAGTTCCAAATTCTGAATCTAATTTGGAAATAATCGAATTTGAGGGCTGAAACTGCATTACCATCATATATTATAGCTCCTGCATAAGAGAAGTAATCTTAAGCAATATTCTCACCATAAATTATTTAAAAATTAAGGTCATCATTCAAATTAATTTTTCTGTTTCTGCTTATTGCTGTTAATATAATTTTTAATGGAGGAATATCTAATTCTGTGAATATGCAAGTAGTGGTGTAACTTGTTTGCCTAGAATCTTTTTATCCAGATACTATACTTAAATTCAACTCTTTTTTTACAAGCCCAGCCATTTAATAATTTAATTATTATAAATGAAAAAATAAAAGTATTTAACTAATTAAAAAATATTCTGGAATTGTTCTATTTATCAAAAAGAAAAAAAAGGGAGCTACGCTTTTTTTTTTTTGATAGATAAAAAATAAAAATTAAGAGGTTAATTTGAAAAGGGAGGTTTCCCTTTCAAATTTTGTAAAAAATTAATTCTTTGATTTTACATTAATTTAAAAAAATAATTTATATAAGTAACCAAGGATAGATAGCCTTCCAATATTTTTATCAATCAATAGATGGATTCTGAAAAATTATATAAATACTTTTAGAACAACTTTGATTACTTTGGCCAATAAGAAAATTAAAAATATTTGTAAAGGAGAATATATACTTTGCATTCAAGTAAAAAAATTGACTGATTGGATGAAATTTTTGATGATTGAAAATGTAAAAGAATAAAAGAATAGCAAATAACAGAAAACATTTAAAGATATTAATTAATACTTTATTATTTAGATCATAATATAGCGTATTTTAGTTGATGATTCATTTTGATTATCATTTAGATAATAATATAGTGTATTCTATTTGTTCATTAATCTTGATTATTATTTTCATTATCTGCAGGGCAAACTTCGGGTAAATCAGAAAAGAAAGCATCCAAATCATCTCTGAGTATTTGAAGGTATTATTAAGAGTTGTCTCTGATTTCTTTGATTGAAGAGTGTTCAATTGAATCATTTAAAAGCAAGTAAATTTAGCTGGGCTCAACATCAGTCTCCATTAAGACGTAGAACCAATCCATAGCTACACCTATGTAATCATAGAGACCTGGATCATCAGGGGAAATCGCCATATGCAAGCCATTTCTTAAGAGATTTAAGAATGGGTTTGTGTAGACTTCGTTGAAGTTCAATACTTAATTGGAAATAGGGCAAGATTCGAATGAATATTCTTTATATTGATGATACTCAAAAGCAAATTATTCTTGTAGGCTTCTAAATCATGACCTATATTCTTAACTCCAGGAAGAAGAGCTGCATTAATAAGGCTATCATTAATATAGTTTTTGTTAGTGTAATGATTATCTATGCCACATTAAGGGAAGAATTGAGTTTCTCCTACATGTAAATAAATATTACCATTCTAGTTATTCAAGTAGTTAAAAATCAAATTAAAGTAAGATTAGGTTTCTCCTTTAATAGCATAAATGAATGCCCCAGGGAAGAAGTTTTTAGCACCATTGTATGGATCGTCTTTAAAAGCATAGAAATCAATACTAACGAAGCGAGGATCAGTAAATTTAGGAGCAGCTTAAACAATAGCGCCACCTTTGCTACCTTTACCTGTAATTTTTCTACAAGGAGTGATAAAAATGTAAGGAACTTCAAATTATTCAGAGCTTTCTTAGAAGGTAATAATTTAGAACTTACCATTTTGTTTATAAATTACACACCATAAGTATTTTGGTCCTTGAATTACATTAACATGTTCACAAGTAAATTGTTGAAAATGTTTTATTTGTCTTATTATTCATCAAAACTCTAGAAGATCTATTCGAAGAAGAACCAGACACCAAGAATTTCTTTTGTTTCTTTAGTCTCAAAAGCATTATCTTTTGAGTATGACTTAGGAAGTCTCTTAATGGCTTATTCATCTAATTAGAAGCAGGCAATACTTTCTTTGAGCATATATGAGAGGTCTCCCAATGATTTCGCTTGTCCTTCTTAGCTCATGCCATCATCATAAGTAGAACCATTGCAGCTCTTCCAATAGACGAAACCTCTGATATAGGGATCAAGAATACCAGGATTGAAACCTTTGTGGTCATTAATGTAATTTAAGCGCTTCTTGTTTTCTTTAACATTCTAAGCAAAATTATTTAAAACATCTTAATTTGAATCGATTGGTGATTGAAGATTGTTGGGGTCAACATACTTTTACTTAGTCAAGAAATACTTGTAGAAATATTTCTCAGTAGTAACCTTACCAACAGAAGCATCTTCGAGATAAATCTAAACAGAAACAATTAAAATTTTTCGCTGTCATAAGGTTAGCTGCTGATAGCAGCTCTGATGCTAGTGATAAATCCTTATATTTTTTTAGCCTTTTCTAAAATGTCTTAATTAATCAGTTTAAAAAGTCAATCAATTTAAGCAGCTTAGAAAAATCTTAGTGGTTGATTAATTAAAAACGTATATTTGGATAGATAGCAATTCCATAACTTTATTATATGTTTCTATGAATATTATAAACTATTAAATAAAGGGTATTTGGAATGCGAACCCAGTAGAATATAATCCTATTTTATCAAATTTACATGTATTTATACCCAACTTCATTGTTTTGAAAATAAATGGTGGGGGACATGTATTTTGAATCCCATAATATATTTAGTAGAAATTTAAATATTTTAAAGTATGTACAATAATAAATTTTCTTATTAAATTTAAATATATAACAAAAATGAATTAAATTACATAAGCACTTCCAAGATTTTTATTCTTGCGGTAGATCTACCACAAGAATTTTAATCCTAGAAGTGATTTTAATCTTAGAAGTGATATAATCAAAATCTATTTTCAATATGTTAGAAAAAATTACTAAAAATTAAGACCTTCCTAAAAAATAGTGACTTCACTAGATTTTAGAAAGGCATTTACCAATACCTAAAAAATTAGTATGAAAGCCTCAATTTTCATCAATGAAAAAGATGGTAATGAATCAAGTTGATGAAATTCAAAATTTAACAGTAATTATTTTAAATTAGATATATTATAAAAATAATAATAGATTAAATTTTAAATGGCAATTATAATTTAAAACTAGTAAATTTAAAAAGGTGAGCAAACAAAAAATATAAAAATATAAATTTGGTTCAAACATCTATTAATTTTTGTTTATTTTAAATCAAAAAATCATACAATTTACCTAAAATATTTTTGGATTAATTGTTTTTTATGTATATTTGAATCAACTAGATCATAAAAAATGACTTTGTTAGCTCTAAGAATACCATTTCCATTAGAAAAGATACTATAAATAGGATTATAAATTAATCCTACTCACTTGGAGTTTTACCGCTAGATACTGCTAAAACAAGATAGAAATAAACTTAGCTTTTTCCTATTTGCAAAATTAGAGATATTACTTTACCTATCGAACCCTTTTTGAATGCATATATAATTCAAAAAAGGCGATCTTCATTAATGAGCTGTTAATTATGGCTATTACTACCTGCTAAATGAGCATATTATAACTTTAGATTAAAATTGAAATAACTAATGTGTGTATTACTTTTAAGTAAAGCAGAGTGAATCTTAATGTTCGTTAAAGGATATTATCATAAATGCAAAAAATACTAAAAAATTAATGAAAGATAGCTATCTTTTTCACTTTAGAAAGTTAAAAATAAACATTTATTTATTATATTTCATCATTATCTTAAACCTCTTTTATTTATGCTTGTGAGTTTGTTTGAGTTTTAATTATCTAAATACTTCTAGTATTAGATTATGATTTAATTATTTGTAATTAATTAGATTCAACAGGCATCTCTTCATCCTTTTCAATATTTCGTTCTTAAAATTATGTAGAATTTTTATCTTTTTCTTCTTCCATTAATATAACCACGCATATTTAAATCAAAAGGTGATGAAATCTATTGATTTTACTAAATTTCTGGTTTGATTTTATTATTGCTTTAAAGCTAATGATTAATAGGAGATTGCTGGAACACACTATTGTTTATCATTTAAGAATTTTCACAAATACCCTACTCTAAAATTTCATTTTACTATTTGTTAATAAGTTCTTGATAATTAACTTTTCAGTATCATTTTTTTATTAAGTATTTGTCTAAGAATTTTCCAATTATAAGTAAAATAATTTGAATTGAAGTGAAACTCATCAATAGCCAAAATACTACATACATATAAAATATTTTAAAGCTTGCTAAATTTAATAGCCTTTATTTTCCAAATGCTGTTTACAGAATTTTATTTTTTCAAAAATGTCTTCAATATCTTCAATGATCGTTATTGGCTTTTAGGATCTACATGCAATGTTATATAATTCATAAGGGGAATTATAACTCAACCCAACTTTTTTATACTCACAATAACCGGTTTTTATGGTTCTACTTTCATAAAAATATTTAGTAAAAATCATTAAAATTTTTTTAAAACATGTACAAAAGTAAATTTATATATTTAATTTAAATATTCATATTACAAAAAGTAATTAAAATTATATAAGCGCTTCCAAGATTACTTTTCTTGCGGTTCCACTACCACAAGAATTTTAATCTGGAGTTGCAATAAATCAATATCTATTATTAATATTTTCGTGTTAAAAAATTATTCTAAATTAAAGGCCTTTCTAAAGAATAATGAGTCACTTCACTAAATTTTAGAAAGGCATTTAGCAATACCTAAAAAATTAGCATGAAAACCTAAATAGATTATAAAAATAATAATAGATTAAATTCTAAAAGATAAATATAATTTAAACAAGTAATTTTAAAAAGGTGATATTTGTTTTTTAAGCGAAAGACAAGAATATAAAAACATAAATTTGGTTCAAACATCTATATTAATTATTGTTTATTTTAAATCTAATAAAGCATACAATTTACTGAAAATATTTTCGGATTCATTGTTTTTTATGTATTTTTGAATCAACTAGATCATACAAAATACCTTTATTAGCTCTAAGAAAACCATCTCTATTAGAAAAGATACTATAAATAGGATTATAAATTAATTCGACTCACTTGGTGTTTTACCGCTAGATACTGCTAAAACAAGATAGAAATAAACTAAGCTTATTCCTATTTGCAAAATTAGAGATATTACTTTACCTATTGAACCCTTCTTGAATGCATATATAATTCCAAAAAAGGCGGTCTTCATTATTGAGCTGTTAATTATGGATATTACTATCTGCTAATCTAGCATATTATAACCTTAGAATAATATTGAAATAACTAAAGTGTGTAATACTTTTAAGTAAAGCAAAGTGAATCTTAATGGTCGTTAAAGGATATTATCATAAATACAAAAAATACTAAAGAATTAATGAAAGATGGCTATCTTTTTCACTTTAGAAAGTTACAAATAAGCATTGATTTTTTAGATTTCTTCTTCATCTTAAACCTCTTTTATTTAAGCTTGTGAGTTTGTTTGAGTTTTCATTTTTTCAATACTTCTAGTACTTGATTATGATTTAATTATTTATAATTAATTAGATTCAGCAGGCATCTCTTCATTCTTTTCAATAATTTATTCTTAACATTGCTTTAAAGTTCTTTAGGTTTGTAATATTTATGAGTTGTAGAATTTTTATCTTTTTCTTCTTCCATTATTATAAGTACGTATATTTTCATCAAAAGGTGATGAAATCTATTGATTTTACTAAATTTCTGGTTAGATTTTATTGTTGCTTTAAAGCTAATTATTAAAAGGAGGTTCCTGGAACACACCATTATTTATTATTTAAGAATTTTCACAAATGTCTTACTCTTAAATTTCATTTTACTATTAATTATTAAGTTCTTGATTATGAACTTTTGAGTATCGTCTTTTTACTGAGTATTTGTCTAAGTATTTTCCAATGATAAATAAAATAATTTGAATCAAAGTGAAACTCGTCAATAGCCAAAATACTACATACTTATAAAAGTTTTTAAAGTTTGCTATATTTAATAACCCTTATTCTCCAAATGCTGTCTATAGATTTTTATTTTTTAAGAGCATGTCATCAATATCTTCAATGATAGTTGTTGGTTTTTAAGATTCACATAAGCACATGTAACTATTTTAACTATTCTTACTGATCCCACAATTTTTTTTGCTCCATTAAAGATCATTTTATTAAAGACATGTCATATTATATAACTTACTAGAATTTGCATCATTAAACTAATAAACTATATTAGACTGATTAAAAGTTTATTAAGAAGATAAATTATAAATCTAGGGTGATATTACTTCATTCTTAGAGTAAGTGAAGTTTTAAATAATATTTTTGAATTGCTGTGTGTATGACTAAAAATATGAAGTATTTTCATAAATATTTTGCTTATAATTATTTCTTGTTATGCTAAATATGCTAGTTTAATTTACTGAATTGCTTTCATCTACAGTTATAATATATTTGAATAGATTCTTTTATGTTACTACATCTGATAAAAGTGTGGACAAGCTGCCATTTAGAATAATTTGTCCTTAGTTTGGTATACTAATATTATTAAGCAGATTTCCTATCTAATTTGATATTTTATCGTAGGATTAATAATCTTCCTATGAGTTATTACTCCACAAACTAACACTTGAGTTTAGAATTTTAAAAGAATCTACCATATTTTAAATTTGAATATCATTATTTTGTTGCAAATGGCTAAGATTACTACTTTATATACTTGAATTAGTATTTTGAAGTATTTTTTACAGTTAATCAAATATTTTATTTTTTTATGTGGTAATATCGCTTTAGGAAGATGAGTTAAATATTAGTTATGATAACTAAGCAGTTACTTTGTTCGCAAACGTTGATAAAAGTGAGAATTTAGGTATTTAGAAAGACAATTACTATATATTTTAAGTTAGTAGACTAACTAAATCACTCAATTATTATGTATGTTAATTGCTTTTACTAATATCTTCTGCTATGATGCTTAAAGTCACTAGTTACTTAGTGATTTCTTAATTTGGGCTCTAAAAAGTTTATGAAGTGAGTTAATTGACCAGTTTATAATATTCGTCAGCTGATTTATTCTAAGCTTGAACCTATATTACAGAAGAGGTATTATAAACTCCTAGGTAAGAATCCATAACTTATGCCATAACAATTAGATTCCCATTAGGTAGTACTGTTTATATCGAGTTGTTTAAAGTCTAGTCTTATATTTATCTTCTCAATATGTTCCAAGGAGTAACCAATTCTTGCTGGGCATCATCTATACTATTATAATAGAAGAACTAGTAAGTTAGAGGAAGATCTTCATCTGTACAATTCAAAAACTAAATTTAAAAGATGGTCTCAAGCGCTATGCCCTACAAAGGATTAATATTTAAAATGCAATTCTAAGGAGGAATATTTATTTAAATGGTAATTATAGACGAGCTCGGCATAACAAATAAAGGATTATACACTGAAAATCTTATTTAAAGTGTTGGCTTTAAGGGACTTATTTTTTAAAAATAGTTCCAAATTCTGAATCTAATTTGGAAATAATCGAATTTGAGGGCTGCAACTGCATTACCATCATATATTATAGCTCCAGCATAAGACAAGTAATCTGAAGCAATATTCTCACCATAAATTATTTAAAAATTAAGGTCATCATTCAAATTAATTTTTCTGTTTCTGCTTGTTGCTGCTAATACAATTTTTAATGGAGGAATATCTAATTCTGTGAATATGCAAGTAGTGGTGTAACTTGTTTGCCTAGAATCTTTTTATCCAGATACTATAAATTAAACTGCAGTGTATGGCTAAAACGTTTTAGCAGGAAATGAAATACTGCTGGCTCCTTATTGAAATTAAATTTAGTTATTCTATTAATCATAGCAGATATGATCAGCAGAAGATAGACTTGAGCACTTCCAACTTATGTTGATATTTGAAAGGGAATTCTAATCTTAAATCTCATAATCTCTCGATTCTGTATCTAAGACCATTTTATTTTGATAGCCCTAAACAAAGCTTGGGCCTCCGATAATTTGCAAATACAAATCTGTAATTTATACACTAGCTGATATATTTTAGATTGCAGCAATCCTATTATCCGAACTCAAATTCAAAATCAGCTATTATTTAAATTTAATAATTAATAAATAAATAAAAGTATTTTGAATAAATCAATTTTAAATTCAAAAATTAAAATCTAGAATCTTTTTATATAATATGGGAGTGTTATTAAATATATAGTAGGTATTTCTCAAAATTATGTTTTATTTTAACTAATTACATTTATACTCTTGTTTGATTAATTAAAAATTTATAGTATTTTATTTATCTTTATACCCACATTTGATAAATTAGCTTATAAGTTTGGATGGTATTTCTTTTAGATGTTTTTAAAATATTTACGCTCATATTAAAGAATTAGTTAGATGCTAAGGAATAAGGGAGAATATCATATTGAAAGCTTGATTAATTATATTGACTTAGGCTTTGCTTTTAAAGCTGGTTAGAAACTAGTTATAAGTCAACAGGTTCATTAAAATAAGTTATTTGGCCTAACTCACACGACTCAATGTAAAACTAAAAGTAGAAACTCAAGCTCATAAATCTATTAATTATTTTAAGAATAAAAAATATTTATAAAAATAATACATTATTAAGAATAATTAACCTATAAATTGGTGGATATAGAGATTACTAATGGTTGATTCTTATCAATTTTTATTTTTGATAAATAATTGTGAAAGTTTAAGTACCAGTTTAGTTAACCTTAAGGAAGTAGCTAAATGATATAGTAATATTAATATTTGGAGGTATGAATTTAGAATCTATAATTAAACTAGTTGTTTTGTTTGAGCTAGCTTTTAGTAATATCTCCTTAATAATGTCTTGCTGCTCATTGCTTATGGATCCTACAATTTGATTTAAGGTCCAATTTAGACTCATAAATTTTCTTCCTGCATCATTTTATAGATTATAAAGAGTTATATTTATAGGGTTGCAGCTATTTTCTATGTGGTTATAGCTAAATTAAAGTTAAGGAATTCCAGGAGGATCTTAGAATGTAATATTTCTATAAAAGACATTAATGAACTAGTCACTATAATCTACAAACTGTAACTTATTTTGCAAGAAAACAATTGAGTTATTTTCCATCATTGTTGATGAGTCAGCTATTTTTCAAACAAAATAAAATATTTTAATAAATTAATATTTTGTTATTCATAATTAAGCGAAATAATTTTTTAATTAAAAGAGTTGAATTGAATATTTAAGAAAATTAATTTACTTAAATTAACCTTAATTTTATTTCCACTGATTTCGCATTAAGAATCTTACCCAATCATGTCTAAAGTTGCTTTGTCAAATATCTATGAGCACAGAGACTAAGGTGTGTCTGATAATATATTCATCAATGGAGATCCAAAATCAATTGAAAGATATGGCGAAGTAGCACTTAATTTTGCATCAACTACAGCAATATTTTAATAGCTGCATTAATAAAGTATATTTCTTGAATCATTTTTGTTTCTGCAAACACACAACTTACTCGAAACATCGAATTATCTTGTTTCATCATAACAAGTCTGACATTTTCCATTTTAAATATATGGTTAATCACATAGTTTGCAACTGGGATCGCAGGGATTGCATTATAGGCTCCAATAGTTTTAGCATGAATCACATGTGAGAGTAATGATATTACTTTTAAACCCATTTGGACAATTGCTAACACAAGTTTTGTTGTAGAGAAAGGTGTTAGGTTAGCAACTTAAACAATTATTTGGGTCCTTTCCATCACAACTTGCACAAGTAATATCACACAATTAGCATTATTGTAATAATAAATTCGGAAACTAGTTTTTATTACAAGATTTTACACACTCCTTTGTTGTTTACTAATAATAAAGTCCAGAGCTACAAGATAAGCAGTTATTTGTATTTGGGCCATCACATGTTTTACATGTTGAATCACAGATAATACATTCTTTTGAGGATTAATTATAGTAATATATAGGGTCGCAAGATAAGCAGCTATGAGAATTTGGACCATCACAAGTTTTACAGGTTGAATCACAAATACATTATTTAGTGGATTAATTGTAGTATATGCCGGTTTAGCAAGATAAGCAATTGCTTGATTGTGGGCCATCACAAGTTTTACATGTTGAATCACAAATAATACACTATTTTGTGGATTAATTATAGTAATATATAGGGTTACAAGATAAGCAGCTATGAGAATTTGGACCATCACAAGTTTTACAGGTTAAATCACAAATACATTATTTAGTGGATTAATTGTAGTATATGCCGGTTTAGCAAGATAAGCAATTGCTTGATTGTGGGCCATCACAAGTTTTACATGTTGAATCACAAATAATACACTATTTTGTGGATTAATTATAGTAATATATAGGGTCGCAAGACAAACAGTTGTTTGAGTTTGGGCCATCACAAGTTTTACAGGTTGGATCACATTTACATTCTTAGGTTAGTTAATTGTAGTATAATCCGGTATTGCAAGATAAGCAGTTATTAGAATTTGGGCCATTGCAAGTTTTGCATGTTGAATCACAAAGACACTATTTAGTAGATGAATTATAGTATATTCCTGTATTACAAGATAAGCAGTTATTAGAATTTGGGCCATTACAAGTTTTGCATGTTGAATCACAAAGACACTATTTAGTAGAAAAATTATAGTATAATCCTGTTTGACAAGATTAACAATTATTAAAGTTAGGACCATCACAAGTTTAACAGGTTGAATCACAAATCATACATTTTTTTGTTTAATCTAAGTATAACCCTGGATTGCACGATAAGCAATTATTTTAGCTAGGACCATTACAACTTGCACATGAACTATTACATTATAAGCATTCATTTGTAGATTGTTAATAATAATACCCTAGATAACATTATAAGCATACTTAATTTACATCACATTAGTCACAATTTATTTTACACTTTTTTTTAATATTAAGTAAATATTTTTAAGTGAGAATTCATTTTTTAAAAATTTAAAGAAAAGTTGTTTGAATTATAAAATTTGGATCTTATAATTTTAATTAAAGCTGGATTGAATAAAAATATTTGCTGAATTTATAAGGTAAAAGCCGAATATTTATAAATCCTGCTTGCTTGGTTATAATTTTAAAAATTCAAATTCTGTTTTCTTTAAAAATAAAATTTTGTATTTTGCCGAAATTTTATCAGAGTTTACAATCATATAATTTTTTTGGCAAGGGTGTCCAAAATTTTTTTTTCTATTATCAATCGATAGAAAATAATTTTTGAAAATTGTAATTAAATAAGAATATATTATTCATCTCCCTATTGACTAATTTAATAATTAAATTTACCAATTGTAAAGCCAGAATCATTTATACTAAATAAACTTGATATTTTTACCCTTAATACATAGTTAATAACTATATTTTAATTGTTAAACTTTCTGCATTTAACTAATAATTCCTAATCGTTTAAACACCTTCATAAGTGACTTATTACTTTTAACCATTTATATAAAGTTCTACATTTATGCTTTGAATATAAGCGTCTGAATAAAATGCTTAAATTTAATATTAAAAAAAAAACCCAAATATCTTTGTCTTCCTAAAATATTAATAAAATACTTAGAAAAAATATGAGATTATCAAATAAAGCATTAAAAATAATTCTTAATTCTCTTTTCATTTTAAAAAAAATTTAATGTTATGCGAATTTTTATTAAGAAAAGATTTATTTATTGCTAAAATAATTATAGTTTTGCTAATAATTTTTTACAAGGTTTAGGGAGTATAATTGATTGTTATATCCGTATTTTATACACAATTATTTCCTGATAAATAAATATTATTAGTGTGTGAACCGGTAGTTGGATTTAAGCAATTTTTGTTTGAGAAATATTATTGAAAGCTTTCTACATCAGTTTACGTAGCAGGATATCCATAATTAACCGGGCAGAAACTAACTTAAGTTTATAAATTATGATTTAATAATAAAACAATAATTTAAAATAAATTTACAATTTGTATTTAAATTTCCCACCCATGGTGGTACACATTGAAAAGGATCAGCATATAAGTATTTTAAGACTGTTTAGTTATTAAAATAATTTAATCCTTTTTACACAATTTATTAATCAAAAATTTGACTTTGTAAAATAACCAAGAGAGATATTCTGATTTTCTAAGTTTTCATTGTTAATTCGATTTTCTTTTTGGAAATTTAGATTAATAATTGATTTTGATTAATTAAATATTATAAGACTATTGATACTTTTTTTTTATAAGTAAATTTACTAATATTAATTACAAAGCAAATAAAAAATAATAATTTAATACCATTTGAATTTATCCTACATTTGATTTTAATTTAACTAAATAAACCCCTATAAAACTGTTTTTAGATGAAAAATCTTAAAAATAACCATTTTATTAAACTTTAAAAAGTATTTTTTAATAGAATTTATTTTCTAATTTAAACATATAAATTTACGCTCTAATAGTTGTAATATAACCTATACAAAAAGCTATGAGTTGAAAATTGTTATAAACCAGCTAATAAATCTAAGTTCCTTATACATCAGTATCAAGTCATATATTTAATAGAATCTCTTATTTTTTGAAAAGTTAATTTTTGTGATGCATTCATTCTATTATTACTAAGAAAAATAGATTACAAATAATAATCTATTAATCTGATTATTTCTTAATACTCTATCTTACCTTTCTAAAGAATTAGAGGACTACAGAGAATGATCAAATCAATCAATCAGATTATTTTAGAAAGCTGATTGCTTTTAGTTTTTGAAGAGTAAAAACCAATGATTACTTTCATTGAAAAAAATTTCCATCAATTTTTAAAATAAGTCTAATTAATAGCATTTTAAAAATCTATTATAAATAGTTAATAAAGTTTTCATTTAATCTTTCTCTTTGCAATATTAAGCCTATCATTTTTAACTTAAAGATGCAATTATAAGTTTTATTTACATTTAAAAAATATATATACACCCTACGAAAAAAATAATTTCCTGACTTTAAATTTAAATTCTAGATAAACACCAACTCCAGTAATTCAAAACCTTTATTTGCTCTTTTCACATTAGTAAGGGAAGAAGGAAATAAATAATACGTTAATACATAATCCAATTATTTACTGCTTTTAATAGCATTTAGACATTTTATTTATTTACTGAATGGCTTTTATAAGTGACAGTCGAATTATTGATATTTTGAAAAACATACATATTAAAATCATCACTAGTTAATATCAAATAAATAATTTCTCAATATTTAAACTAATTAAACTGTTCAATAATTTTGGGTTCTCACTATTTTTAAAAATCTAAATAAATGACTTTGATTAAAATTTAGCTTATCTGATTACTTGGGATGCTTTTTTCTTTTTCTTTGAAAGAGGCATATTATCAATTCTTAATTCAAGCAGTAGAACAATTCTTTAGTTTTGGTAAATCAATATATATACTTGGCTATTTCTAGAAGATTATAAATAATTATCTACAATGCTTTATGCTTATTATTTGAAGGAAATATCCTATCAATTCAATTGTAGTATTCATTTTAATGTATTCTTTTGTAAAGTATTTATTACACTTTATATTTAATTCTTCCATTTTAAGTCATTATGTAATTAAAAAAAAATAATTTTCATTTAAAATTTAATAGAGTTAAAACACATAAATAAATTTTTACTTAGCTTCAAAAAAACATATTTCATAATTTTAAAATATCAGATTTTATATTTTTTTTAGCACGAATAATGCTAAGAAATATTCAAAATTGGTAGAGTTGAAAATGAAATGAATAGTTAATTAATTAGTATATTAGCTATCTAACTACGAATATAAAAATTAATTAAAAATGTTTCACTCGCTTTCATAAATAAGATTAAATGATTATTTTATCATTAACTTAAAATTGTTAATATCTTCATATTTTAAGGTAATTATTTGCAAAATGAATAAATATAATCTAAATCCTCTTTGATTAAGGACTAAACATAATTTGACTTTGAGCAATTTTTAGATTTAATAAAAACTTCACATCGAACCATGAACTCCAATTTAAGACTACTTGATAAAAAGGTAATATGATATGTAAAACTAATTAAAATTGTGGATGAAATTTTTGATGATTGAAAATGTAAAAGAATAAAAGAATAGCAAATAACAGAAAACAAATAAAGATATTACTTTATACTTTATTATTTAGATCATGATATAGCGTATTTTATTTGATGATTCATTTTGATTATCATTTAGATGATAATATAGTGGTGTATTCTATTTGTTCATTAATCTTGATTATTATTTTCACTATCTGCAGGGCAAACTTCGGGTAAATCAGAGAAGAAAGCATCCTAATCATCTCTGAGTATTTAAAGGTATTATTAAGAGTTTTCTCTGATTTCTTTGATTGAAGAGTGCTCAATTGAATCATTTAAAAGCAAGTAAACTTCGCTGGGCTCAACATCAGTCTCCATTAAGACGTAGAACCAACCCATAGCAACAACTATGTAACTAAAGAGACCTGGATCATCAGGGGAAATTGCCATGTGCAAGCCATTTCTTAAGAGATTTAAGAATGGGTTGGTTTAGACTTCGTTGAAGTTCAATACTTAATTGGAAATAGGGCAAGATTCGAATGAATATTCTTTTTATTGATGATACTCAAAAGCAAATTATTCTTGTAGGATTCAAAACCATGACCTATTCTCTTAACTCCAGGAAGAAGAGCTGCATGAATTAGGTTATCATTGATGTAGTTTTTGTTAGTGTAATGATTATCTATGCCACCTTGAGGGAAGAATTGGGTTTCTCCTGCGTGTAAATAAATATTACCATTCTAGTTATTCAAGTAGTTAAACATCTAATTAAAGTAAGATTAGGTTTCTCCTTTAATAACAAAAATGAATGCTCCAGGGAAGAAGTTTCTAGCACGATTGTATGGATCGTCTTTAAAAGCAAAGAAATCAATACTAACGAAGTGAAGATCAGTAATGGAGCAGCTTAAACAATAGCGCCACCTTTGCTACCTTTAACTGCAACTTTTCTACCTGGGTGATAAAACTGTAAGGAACTTCAAATTATTCAGAGCTTTCTTAGAAGGTAATAATTTAGAACTTACCATTTTTGTTTATAAATTGCACACCATAAGTATTTTGGTCCTTGAGTTACATGAGCATGTTCACAAGTAAGTTGCTTGAAAATGTCTTATTTGTCATATAATTCACCAACACTCTAGAAGATCTATTCGAAGAAGAACCAGACACAAAGAATTTCCTTTGTTTCTTTAATCTCAAAAGCATTATCTTTTGAGTATGATTTAGGAAGTCTCTTGATGGCTTATTCATCTGATTAGAAGCAGGAAATACTTTCTTTGAGCATATATGAGAGGTCTTCCAATGATTTCGCTTGTCCTTCTTAGCTCATGCCATCATTAAATGTAGAACTATTGCAGCTCTTTCAATAGACGAAACCTCTGATATAGGGATCAAGATTACCAGGATTGAAACCTTTGTTGTCCTTAATGTAATTTAAGCGCTTCTTGTTTTCCTTAACATTCTAAGCAAAATGATTTAAAACATCTTAATTTGCATCGATCGCTGATTGAAAATTATTGGGGTCAACATACTTTTACTTAGTCAAGAAATAATTGTAGAAATATTTCTCAGTAGTAACCTTACCAACAGAAGCATCTTCGAGATAAACTTAAACAGAAACAACTAAAATTATTTCGCTGTCATAAGGTTAGCTGCTGATAGCAGCTCTGATGCAGTGATAAATCCTTATAATTTTTTAGCCTTTTCTAAAATGTCTTAATAAATCAGTTTAACAAGTCAATCAATTTAAGCAGCTTAGAAAAATTTTAGTAATTGATTAATTAAAAACATATATTTTGATAGATAGCAATTGCATAACTTTATTATGTGTTTCTATGAATTTTTTTAAATATTAAATAAAGGGTATTGGGAATGCGAACCCAGTAGAATATAATCCTATTTTATCAAATTTACCTGTATTCTTTTCCCTTTTTAAAAATTAAAAAAATATTTTATTTTTAAAAAATTCAGTATGCCTGTATTCATATATATATTTAGTAGAAATTTAAATTTTTTAAAGCATGTACAATAATAAATTTTCTTATTTAATTTAAATATATAACAAAAATGAATTAAATTACATAAGCACTTCCAATATTATTATTCTTGAGGTAGCGCTACCACAAGAATTTTAATTGGAAGTGATATAATCAAAATCTAATTTCAATATGTTATTAAAAATTATTAAAAAATATAGACCTTCCTAAAAAATAGTGACTTCACTAAATTTTAGAAAGGCATTTACCAATACCTAAAAAATTAGTATGAAGGCCTCAATTTTGATCAATGAAAAAGATGGTAATGAATCAAGTTGATGAAATTCAAAATTTAACAATAATTATTTTAAATTAAATATATTATAAAAATAATAATAGATTAAATTTTAAATGACAAATATAATTTAAAACTAGTAAATTTAAAAAGGTGAGCATAAACAAAAAATATAAATTTGGTTCAAACATCTATTAATTTTTGTTAATTTTAAATCAAAAAACCATACAATTTACCTAAAATATTTTTAGATTAATTCATTTTTATGTATATTTGAATCAACTAGATCATAAAAAATGACTTTGTTAGCTCTAAGAATATCATTTCTATTAGAAAAGATACTATAAATAGGATTATAAATTAATTCGACTCAGTTGGAGTTTGACCTCTAGATACTGCTAAAACAAGATAGAAATAAACTTAGCTTATTCCTATTTGCAAAATTAGAGATATTACTTTACCTATCGAACCCTTTTTGAATGCATATATAATTCCAAAAAAGGCGATCTTCATAAATGAGCTGTTAATTATGGCTATTACTACCTGCTAAATGAGCATATTATAACTTTAGATTAATATTGAAATAACTAATGTGTGTATTACTTTTAAGTAATGAAGAGTGAATCTTAATGGTAGTTAAAGGATATCATCATAAATGTAAAAAATACTAAAGAATTAATGAAAGATGGCTATCTTTTTCACTTTAGAAAGTTAAAAATAAACATTTATTTATTAGATTTCATCTTTATCTTAAACCTCTTTTATTTATGCTTGTGAGTTTGTTTGAATTTTAATTATTTAAATACTTCTAGTATTTGATTATGATTTAATTATTTGTAATTAATTAGATTCAACAGGCATCTCTTCATCCTTTTCAATATTTCGTTCTTAAAATTATGTAGAATTTTTATCTTTTTCTTCTTCCATTAATATAACCACGCATATTTAAATCAAAAGGTGTGAAATCTATTGATTTTACTAAATTTCTGGTTTGATTTTTTATTGCTTTAAAGCTAATGATTAAAAGGAGATTGCTTGAACACACTATTATTTATCATTTAAGAATTTTCATAAATACCCTACTCTAAAATTTCATTTTACTGTTAGTTAATAAGTTCTTGATAATTAACTTTTGAGTATCATTTTTTTATTAAGTATTTGTCTAAGAATATTCCAATTATAAGTAAAATAATTTGAATCAAAGTGAAACTCATCAATAGCCAAAATACTACATATATATAAAAATTTTTAAAGATTGCTATATTTAATAGCCATTATTTTCCAAATGCTGTCTACAGAATTTTATTTTTTCAAAAATGTCTTCAATGCTAGTTGTTGGCTTTTAGGATCTACATGCAATGTTATATAAATGATAAGGGGAATTATAACTCAACCCAACTTTTTTATACTCACACAATAACCGGTTTTTATAAAAATTTTACATCGAACCATGAACTCTAATTATAGACTACTTGAATAAAAAGGTAATATGATATATAAAACTAATTAATATTGTGGATGATTTTTTTGATGATTGAAAATGTAAAAGAATATAAGAATAGCAAATAACAGAAAGCAAATAAAGATATTACTTTATACTTTATTATTTAGATCATATTATAGCGTATTTTATTTGATGATTCATTTTGATCATCATTTAGATGATAATATAGTGAGTGTATTCTATTTGTTCATTAATCTTGATTATTATTTTCATTATCTGTAGGGCAAACTTAGGGTAAATCAGAGAAGAAAGCATCCAAATCATCTCTGAGTATTTGAAGGTATTGTTAAGAGTTGTCTCTGATTTCTTTGATTGAAGAGTGTTCAATTCAATCATTTAAAATCAAGTAAACTTCGCTGGGCTCAACATCAGTCTCCATTAAGACGTAGAACCAATCCATAGCAACACCTATGTAACCATAGAGACCTGGATCGTCAGGGGAAATCGCCATGTGCAAGCCATTTCTTAAGAGATTTAAGAATGGGTTGGTGTAGACTTCGTTGAATAGTTGTACTTAATTGGAAATAGGGCAAGGTTAGAATGAATATTCTTTATATTGTTGATACTCAAAAGCAAATTATTCTTGTAGGCTTCAAAACCATGACCTATTCTCTTAACTCCAGGAAGAAGAGCTGCATGAAATAGGTTATCATTGATGTAGTTTTTGTTAGTGTAATGATTATCTATGCCACCTTGAGGGAAGAATTGGGTTTCTCCTGCGTGTAAATAAATATTAACATTCTAGTTATTCAAGTAGTTAAACATCTAATAATTGAAGTAAGATTAGGTTTCTCCATTCATAACATCAGTGGATGCTACAGATGTAAGAATTTTATAGCACCATTTTATGGTTTGTCTTCGAAGGCAAAGAAATCAATACCAACAAAGTGAGGATCAGTAAATTTAGGAGCAGCTTAAATAATAGCACTGTCCTTTCTACCTTTACTGCAACTTTTCTACCTGGAGTAATAAAATTGTATGGAATTGTAAATTAATGAGAGCTTTCTTAGAAGGTAACCATTTAGAATTTATCAATTTTGTTTCTAAATTCGACACCAAAAGTATTCTGGCCCTTGAATTACATGAACATGTTCACAGTAAGTTGTTTGAAAGTGTCTTAGTTATCTTATAATTCACCAACACTCTAGTAGACATATTTGAAGAAGAATAAAACACCAAGTATTTCATTCGTTTCTTTAGTTTCAAAAGCATTATCTTTCAGTATGATGACTATGGAAGTCTCTTAATGGCTTATTCATCTGTTTAGAAGAAGGCAATACTTCCTTTGAGCATGTAAGAAAGGCCTTCTAATCATTTAGCTTGTCCTTTTTAGCTCATTCCATCATCATAAATAGAACGATTGCAGGTCTTCCAAAAGACGAAACCTCTGATATAGGGATCAACATTACCAGGATTGAAACTATTGTTGTGCTTAATTTAATTCAAAGGCTTCTTGTTTTCCTTAAAAATCTTAGCAAATAGATTTGAAATATCTTGATTTGCATCGGTCACTGATTGAAGATTGCTGGGGTCAACATACTTTTACTTAGTCAAGAAGTACTTGTTGAAATACTTCTCAGTAACAACCTTACCAACAGTAACATCTTAGAGATAAATCTAAACGGAAACAACTACAATTCTTTAGTACCATAAGGTTAGTTGTTGATAGCAGCTATGATGCTAGTGATAAATCCTTATAATTTTTTAGCCTTTTTCTAAAATGTCTTAATAAATCAGTTTAAAAAGTCAATCTATTTAAGCAGCTTATAAAATTTTTAGATGTTGATTAATTAAAAACATATATTTGGATAGATAGCAATTACATAACTTTATTATATGTTTCTATGAATATTAAATAAAGGATATTGGGAATGCGAACCCAGTAGAATATAATCCCATTTCGTCAAATTTACATGTATCTGCCCTTTTTAAAAACTAAAAAAATATTTTAATTTTTTTTAAATTCTGTATGCCTACTTTCATATATATATTTTGTAAAAATCATTTTAAATTTTTTAAAACATGTACAATAGTAAATTTTTTTATTTAATTTAAATATTCCTATTACAAAAAACAATTAAATTACATAAGCACATCTAAGATTACTATTCTTGCGGTAGCGCTACCACAAGAATTTTAATCCTAGAAGTGCTATAAATCAAAATCTATTTTCAATATTTTCATGCTCGAAAAAAATTATTAAAAAATAAAGGCATTTAGCAATACCTAAAAAATTAGTATGAAAGTCTCAATTTTGATCAATGAAAAAGATGGTAATGAATCAAGTTGATGAAATTCAAAATTTAACAGTAATTATTTTAAATTAAATTCATTATAAAAATAATAATAGATTAAATTCTAAAAGATAAATTTAACTTAAAACAAGTAATTTTAAAAAGTAGATATTTATTTTTAAAGCGTAAGACAAAAAACACTAATATGATTCAAATATCTATATTAATTATTGTTTATTTTAAATCAAAAAAAGCATACAATTTACTGAAAATATTTTCGGATTAATTGTTTTTTATGTATTTTCGAATCAACTAGATCATACAAAATGACTTTATAAGCTCTAAGAATACCATTTCTATTAGAAAAGATACAATAAATAGGATTATAAATTAATTCGACTCACTTGGTGTTTTACCGCTAGATACTGCTAAAACAAGATAGAAATAAACTAAGCTTATTCCTATTTGCAAAATTAGAGATATTACTTTACCTATTGAACCCTTCTTAAATGTATATATAATTCCTAAAAGGGCGGTCTTCATTATTGAGCTGTTAATTATGGATATTACTACTTGCTAAATGAGCATATTATAACCTTAAAATAATATTGAAATAACTAACGTGTGTATTACTTTTAAGTAAAGTAGAGTGAATCTTAATGGTCGTTAAAGGATACTATCATAAATGAAAAAAATACTAAAGAATTAATGAAAGATGGCTATCTTTTTCACTTTAGAAAGTTACAAATAAGCATTGATTTTTTAGATTTCTTCTTCATCTTAAACCTCTTTCATTTATGTTTGTGAGTTTGTTTGAGTTTTCATTTTTTCAATACTTCTACTACTTGATTATGATTTAATTGTTTGCAATTAATTAGGTTCAGAAGGCATCTCTTCATTCTTTTCAATAATTTATTCTAAAAATTGATTTAAAGTTCTTTGGGTTTGTTATATTGATGAGCTGTAGAATTTTTTTCTTTTCCTTCTTCCATTTTTATAACTATGCAAATTTTAATCAAAAGGTGATTAAATCTATTGATTTTACTAAATTTCTGGTTTGATGTTATTGTTGCTTTAAAGCTAATTATTAAAAGGAGATTCCTAGAACACACCATTATTTATCATTTAAGAATTATCACAAATACCTTACTCTTAAACTTCATTTTACTATTAGTTATTAAGTTCTAGATTATGAACTGTTAAGTATCTTTTTTTTATTGAGTATTTGTCTAAGAATTTTCCAATAAAAAATAAAGTAATTTGAATCAAAGTGAAACTCATCAATAGCCAAAATACTACATACATATAAAAGTTTTTAAAGTTTACTATATTTAATAGCCCTTATTCTCCAAATGCTGTCTACAGATTTTTATTTTTTGAGAACATGTCTTCAATATCTTCAATAATAGTTGTTGGGTTTTAGGATCTACAAAAGCAGATGTAATTATCTTCAGCAATTTGATCAATATTGCAATTTTATTTACTCCATGAAAGAGTATTTTATTAGAGGCATGTCATATTATATAACTTACTAGCCTTTGCATTATTAAACTTATAAATAATAGGCTGGTTTATGATTTTTTAAGAAGATGAATTGTAAATCTATGGTGAAATTATTTCATTCTTAGAGTAAGCAAAGTTTTCACTAATATTTTTGAATTGCTAAGTATACGCCTAAAATTCTGAAGTATTTTCATAAATATTTTGTTTATAATTATTTCTTGTGATGCTAAATATGTCAGTTTAATTTACTGAATTGTTTTCATCTACAGTTAGAATATATTTGAATAGATTCTTGTAAGTTACTTTATCTGATAAAAGAGTGGACAATCCACCATTTAGAATAATTTGTCCTTAGTTTGGTAAACTAATATTATTAAGCAGATTTCCAATTTAACTTGAGATTTTATCATAGGATTAAAAATCTTCCTATGAGTTATTACTCGAATAACTAACGCTTGAGTTTAGAATTTTAAAAGAATCTACCATATTTTAAATTAGAATATCATTATTTTGTTGTAAATGGCTAAGATTACTACTTTGTATGCTTGAATTAGTATTTTGAAGTATTTTTTACAGTTAATCAAATATTTTATTTTTTTATGTGGTAACATTGTTTTATAATGGTGAGTTAAATATTAGTTATAATAACTAAGCAGTTACTTTGTTCGCAAATGTAGACAAAAATGAGAATTTAGGTATTTAGAAAGACAATTGCTATATATTTTAAGTCAGCGTACTTACGAAATCACTCAATTACAAACTATGTTAATTGCTTTTACTAATGTCTTCTGCTATGATGCTTAAAGTCACTAGTTACTTAGAGATTTCTATATTTGGGCTCTAAAAAGTTTATGAAGTGAGTTCACTGACTATTTTATAATATTCGTCAGCCTATTTATTCTAAGCTTGAACCTATATTATAGAAGAGGTATTATAAACTCCTAGGTAAGAATCCATAACTTGTGCCATAACAATTAGATTCCCACTAGGAAGTACTGTTTATATTGAGTTATTTATAGTCTAATCTTATATTTATCTTCTCAATATGTTCCAAGGAGAAACTAATTCTTGCTGGGCATCATCTACACTATTATAATAGAAGAACTAGTAAGTTAGAGGAAGATCATCATCTGAACAGTTCAATAACTATATTTAGAAGATGGTCTCAAGCGCTATACCCTACAAAGGATTTATGTTTAAAATGCAATTCTAAGGAGGAATATTTATTTAAATGGTAATTATAGACGAGCTTGGCATAACAAATAAAGGATTATACACTGAAAATCTTATTTAAAGTGTTGGATTTGAGGGATTTATTCTTTAAAGATAGTTCCAAATTCTGAATCTAATTTGGAAATAATCGAATTTGATGGCTGTAACTGCATTACCATCATATATTATAGCTCCTGCATAAGATAAGTAATCTGAAGCGATGTTCTCACCATAAATTAATTAAAAATTAAGGTCATCATTCAAATTAATTTTTCTGTTTCTGCTTGTTGCTGCTAATAAAATTTTTAATGGAGGAATATCTAATTCTGCGAATAAGCAAGTAGTGGTGTAACTTGTGTGCCTTGAATCTTTTTATCCAGATACTATAAACTAAACTGTAGTGTATGGCTAAAACGTGTTAGCAGGAAATGAAATACTGCTGGCCTCTTTTTGAAATTAAATCTAGTTATTCTATTAATCATAGCAAATATGATCAGCAGAAGATAGACTTGAGCACTTCCAACTTATGTTGATATTTGAAAGGGAATTCTAATCTTAAATTTCATAATCCCTTGATTCAGTATCTAAGACCATTTTATTCTTATAGCCCTAAAGAAGGCTTGGGCCTCCAATAATTTGCAAATACAAATCTGTAAGTTATACACTAACTGATATACTTTACATTGAAGTAATCTTATTTTCCGAACTCAAATTCAAAATCAGCTATTATTTAAATTTAGTAATAAATAAATAAAATTATTTTAAACAAATCAATTTTAAATTCAAAAATTAAAATCTTGAATATTATTATTATTATATGGGAGTTTTATTAAATATATATAGGTATTTCTCAAAATTATGTTTTATTTTAACAAATTACATTTATACTATTGTTTGATTAATTAAAATTTTTTAGTATTATCTTTATCTATCTATCTACCCATATTTGATAAATTAGCTTAAAAGCTTTGATGGTATTTCTTATTGATGTTTATAAAATATTTACATTCAAATTAAAGAATTAGTTAGATGCTAAGGAATAAGGGAGAATATCATATTGAAAGCTTGATTAATTATATTGACTTAGGCTTTGCTATTAAAGCTGGTTAGAAACTAGTTATAAGTTAACAGGTTCATTAAAATAAGTTATCTGGCCTAACTCACACATCTCAACGAAAAACTAAAAGTAGAAACTCAAGCTCATAAATCTATTAATTGTTTTTAGAATAAAAAATATTTATAAAAATAATACATTATTAAAAAAAATTAACCTATAAATTGGTGGAAATTGAGATTGCTAATAGTTGATTCTTATGAATTTTTATTTTTGATAAATAATCGTGAACATTTAAGTACCAGTTTAGTTAACCTTAAGTAAGTAACTAAATTATATAGTAATATTAATGTTTGGAGGTATGAATTTAGGATCTATAATTAAACTAGTGTTTTTGTTTGAGCTTGCTTTTTGTAATATCTCCTATATAATGTCTTGCTGCTCATTGCTTATGGATCCTACAATTTGATTTAAGGTCCAATTTAGACTCATAAATTTTCTTCCTGCATCATTTTATATATTATAAAGAGTTATATTTATAGGGTTACAGCTATTTTCTATCTGATTAAAGCTAAATTAAAGTTAAGGAATTCCAGGAGGATCTTAGAATGTAATATTTCTATAAAAGACGCTAATGAACTATCCACTGTAATCTACAAACTGTAACTTATTTTGCAAGAAAACAATCGAGTTATTTTCCATTATTGATGATGAGTCCGCTATTTTTCAAATAAAATAAAATATTTTAATAATTAATATTTTTTTATTGATAAACTAAATTTAATGAGTTGAATCGAATATTTAAAAAAAATAATTTACATAAATTAACCTTAATTAATTTTCCACTGATTTCGCATTAAGAATCTTACACAATCATGTCTAAAGTTGCTTAGTCAAATATCTATGAGCACAAAGACTAAGGTGTGTCTGATATGATATTCATCAATGGAGATCCAAAATCAATGGTAAGTTATGGTGAAGTAGCACTTAATTTTGCATCAATTACAGCAATATTTTAATAGCTGCATTAATAAAGTATATTCCTTGAATCATTTTTGTTTCTGCAAACACACTAATTACTTGAAACATCGAATTATCTTGTTTCATCATAACAACTCTGACAATTTCCATTTAAACTATATGGTTAATCACATAGTTTGCAACTGGGATTGCAGGGATTGCATTAAAGGCTCCAATAGTTTTAGCATGAATCGCATGTGAAAGTAGTAATATTACTTTAAAGTCCATTTGGACAAATACTAACACAAGTTTTGTTGTAGAGAAAGATGTTAGGGTAGCAACTTAAACAATTGTTTGAGTCCTTTCCATCACAAGTTGCACAAGTAGAATCACACAATTAGCATTATTGCAATACTAAATCCGGAAACTAGTTTTTATTACAAGATTTTACACACTCCTTTGTCGTTTACTAATAATAAAGTCCAGAGTTACAAGATAAGCAGTTATTTGAATTTGGACCATCACAATTTGCACATTAACTATTACATTATAAGCATTCGTTTGTAGGTTGATTATAATAATACCCTGAATAACATTATAAGCATACTTAATTTCCATCACATTGGTCACAGTTTATTTTACACTTTTTTATATGTTAAGTAAATATTTTTAAGTGGGAATTCATTTTTTTAAAATTTAAAGAAAATTTTTTTGCATTATTAAATTTAAAATAATTTTTGAAAATTGTAATTAAATAAGAATATATTATTCAACTCTCTATTAACTAATTTAATAATTAAATTTACCAATTATAAAACCAGAAGTAATGATTTGATATAAACTTGAAATTGTTATCCTTAAGCCTTAGCTGATAATGATATATTAATTCTTAAATTTTCAGCATTTAATGTTGCCATTATATATTATTCATTATTTATATAGATTAAGTAATTTTAGCTATTTAATTTAAATTTTAGATCTACATAATTTGATTAAATTACAGAAAGCTCAAATTTAAAAAAAATCCTATATATCTTCGTGTTCCTAAAGTATTAATAAAATACTTAGAAAAAATATGAAAATATCAAATAAAACATTAAAAATAATTCTTAATTCTCTTTTTGTTTTAAAAAGAAATTAATTTTATGCGAATTTTTATTAAGAAAAGATTTATTTATTGATAAAATAATTATTGTTTTGCTAATAATATCTTTACGGGGTTTAGGGAGTATATTAAATTATTATATTCGTATTTTATACGCAACTATCTCCTGATAAATAATTAACATTTTCAGCTGGATAGGAAGTTACAACTAAGCAATTTTTGTTTTGGAAATACTCTTGAATGCTATTTACATCATCTTAAGTAGCAGGTTTATTATAATTCACTAAGCAAAAACTAACTTAAGTTTATAAAATATGATATAATAATAAAACAATAATTTAAAATAAGTTTACAATTATTATTCAAATCGCCAAAACTATCCACTCCTTGTCTGCATGCTGAATATTGATCAGCATATAAGTATTTTAAGACTGTTTAGTTATTAAAATAATTTAATCCTTTTTATGCAATTTATTAATCAAAAATTTTACTTTGTATAATAAACAAGAGAAATATTTTGATTTTCTAAGTTTTCATTGTTTATTAGATCTGCTTTTTGGAAATTTAGACTAATAATTGATTTGGATTACTTAAATATTATAAGACAAATTGATACTTTTCTTGTTTAAGTAAATTTTACTAGTATTAATTACAAAGCAAATAAAAATAATAATTTAATACCATTTTGAATTTATCATACATTTGATTCTAATTTAGCTAAATAAACCCCTATTAAACTGTTTTTAGTTTATTTGCTTTTTGGAAATTAAGATTAATAATTGATTTTGGTTACTTAAATTTAATAAGAAAAATTGATACTTTTCTTGTGTAAGTTAATTTTACTAACATTAATTACAAAGTGAATAAAAAATATAATAATTTAATACAATTTAAATTTATCATACATTTGATTCTAATTTAACTAAATAAACCTCTATAAAACTCTTTTTACATGCAAAAATATTTTAAAAAAATAACCATTTTATTGAATAAAATATTTAATAGAAAGGCGAAAGATTTAAAAGTTGCTGTAAATGATTACAAACCATCTGCCTACCTATCGACTTGTGGGCTTTAAGCCACTCTTATTTTCTTTTAATTAAAGATTATTAAACCAGCTAGTAAATCTAAGTTGTTTATATATTAGCTATGAAATCATATAATTAATAGAATCTCTTATTTTTTGAAAAGTTAATTTTGGTGATGCATTCAATCTACTATTAAAAAGAAAAATTAGATGATTACAAATAATAATCTATAATTCTGATTATCTCTTAATACTCTATCTTACTTTTCTAAAGAATTAGATGATTATAGAAAATCATCAAATCAATCAGATTATTTTAGAAAGCTGATTGCTTTTAATTTTTGAAGAGTAAATGAGAAGCTATTAAAAAATCAATCATTACTTTCATTTAAAATAGTTTCCATTAATTTTTTAAATACATCTAATTATTATCACTAAAAATCTATAATAAATAATTCATAAAATTTGTTAAAAATATCCTTTAATCTTTTTCTTTGCAATATTAAGTCTATCATTTTTAACTTAAAGATACAATTAATTATAAGTATTATTTACATTTAAAAAATATTTATAGACTTGATATAAATCTAATGAGCAATTAACAAAAATGAAGGTAAATAAAGCACATATCTTACTACATAATAATAATAACAATATTTTAAAAATTTAATAAATCCATTTAAAAACTGAAATAAAAAATAAATGTTATCTTTAATTTAGTAAAATTGTTTTTTTTTGTAGATATATAAGATTGTAGCTTGCTTGCATGTTAGTAAATAAATACAATTAATATAACTCTTCACATAAATAATGGTTAATAAAACTACTTCTAGGCTTTATTTTCATCCTATAATAATAATAATAATAATAGTAACCTCGCTTTGTATATTGCCTTCAGGAAAGCTTGGATATTTAAAAATAAATGGAAATAACTATTTTTACTTAAGTGAATTTCATTATGTTTTTTTTTAAAAAGAATCATAGATTACATACAAATATATTGAATAAATTTCCAAAATTTAGAGTAACTTACTATTTATTAGATGAAAATTAATATATTTATTTATCTATTTCTAAATTAAGGATCCAATCTATAAACTCATCTTAAGTGATATTTCCATCCTTATAAACAAATAATACCCTATTCCCCAATAAGTGCAATTGAAGAAATTGCTTAGGGAGCCCTAAATTTTTTAATCTTTAACTTTTTACATAAACTTATAACATTAGTAAAATATAAAAAAAATTATAAAAATATTTTTTATTTAAAAACCTAGCCTAATTAATATTTAGAGGTTGCCATACAACTAAAAATTCAAAACCTTTATTTGCTCTTTTCACTTTAGTAAGGGATGAAAGAAATAAATAGTATGTTAATTAATACACAATCGAATTATTTACTGCTTTAAATTACATTTACACATTTTATTTATTTACTGAATGGTTTTTATAATAATAGACAGTCGAATTATTGGTATATTGAAAAATATAAATATTAAAATCATCACTAGTTAATATCAAATATAAATAATTTCTCAATGTTTTAATTAATTAAACTGTTCAATAATTTTGGGTACTCACTCACTATTTTTCAACATCTAAATGACTTTGATTAAAATTTAGTTTATCTGATTACTTGGGATGCTTTTTTCTTTTTCTTTGAAAGAGGTATATTATCAATTCTTAATTCAAGCAGTAGAACAATTCTTTAGTTTTGGTAACTCAATATATTTACTTTAGATATTTCTAAACGATTATAAATAATTATCTACGATGCTTTATGCTTTTTATTTGAAGGAAATATCCTATCAATTCAATTGTTAATTCAAGTGTAGCCATTACATAACTTATAGACTAATTAATTAACTATTCATTTCATTTTCATCTTCTCCAATTTTGAATATTTCTTAGCATTATTCATTCTAAAATAAATAATATAAAATTTGATATTTTAAAATTATGAAATACATTTTTTTGCTAAATATAAATTTATTTATGTGTTTTAACTCTTTAAATATTAAAAGAAAATTATTTTTTTAATTTATTAATGACCTAAAAAGGAAGATTTAAATTTAAAGTGTAATAAAAAATTTTAACTCGCTTTCATATATAAGATTAAATGATTATTTTACATTGAAATTTAAAATTGTTAACATGTTCATTTAAAATAATTATTTGCAAAATGAATAAATATAATCTAAATCCTCTTTGATTAAGGACTAAACATAATTTGAGTTGGGCCATTTTTACATTTAATAAAAGTTTCACCATTAACCAATTATCTTCACTAACAAATTACTTGAAAAAAAGGTAATAAGATATTTAAAACTTAAAGTATTGTTGATGAAGTTTTTGATGAATGAAATGTAAAAGAATAACACATAACAGAAAACAAATAAAGATACTACTTTATACTTTATTATTTAGATCATAATATAGCGTATTTTATTTGCTCATTAATTTTGATTATCATTTAGATGATAATATAGTGAGTGTATTCTATTTGTTCATTAATCTTGATTATCATTTTCATTATCTGCAGGGCAGACGTCGGGTAAATCAGAGAAGAAAGCATCCAAATCATCTCTGAGTCTTTGGAGGTATTATTAAGAGTTGTCTCTGATTTCTTTGATTGAAGAGTATTCAATTGAATTCTTTAAAAGCAAGTAAACTTCACTAGGTTTAACGTCAGTCTCCATCAAAACGTAGAACCAATCCATAGCAACACCTATGTAACCAAAGAGACCTGGATCATCAGGGGAAATAGCCATGTGCAAGCCATTTCTTAAGAGATTTAAGAATGGGTTTGTGTAGACTTCGTTGAAGTTCAAGACTTAATTGGAAATAGGGCAAGATTCGAATGAAATATTCTTTTGGTTGATGATGCTCAAAAGCAAATTATTCTTGTAGGCTTCAAAACCATGGCCTATTCTCTTAACTCCAGGAAGAAGAGCAGCATGAATTAGGTTATCATTGATGTAGTTTTTGTTGGTGTATTTATTATCTATGCCACCTTGTGGGAAGAATTGAGTTTCTCCTGCGTGTAAATAGATATTACCATTCTAGTTATTCAAGTAGTTAAACATCTAATCGAAGTAAGATTAGGTTTCTCCTTTAATAACATCAGTGAATGCCCCAGGGAAGAAGTTTCTAGCACCATTGTATGGATCGTCTTCGAAAGCAAAGAAATCAATACCAACGAAGTTAGGATCAGTAATTTTAGGAGCAGCTTAAACAATAGCACCACCTTTGCTACCTTTACCTGCAACTTTTCTACCTGGAGTGATAAAACTGTAAGGAACTTCAAATTAATCGGAGCTTTCTTAGAAGGTACCAATTTAGAATTTATCATTTTTGTTTCTAAATTCGACACCATAAGTATTTTGGTCCTTGAAAGACATGAACATATTCACAGTAAGTTGCTTGAAAATGTCTTAGTTGTCTTATAATTCACCAACACTCTAGAAGATCTATTCGAAGAAGAACCAGACACCAAGAATTTCCTTTGTTTCTTTAGTCTCAAAAGCATTATCTTTCAAGTATGACTTAGGAAGTCTCTTAATGGCTTATTCATCTGATTAGAAGCAGGCAATACTTTCTTTGAGCATTAAAGAGAGGTCTTCCAATGATTTGGCTTGTCCTTCTTAGCTCATGCCATCATCATAAATAGAACCATTGCAGCTCTTCCAATAGACGAAACCTCTGATATAGGGATCAAGGTTACCAGGATTGAAACCATTGTTGTCCTTAATGTAATTCAAACACTTCTTGTTTTCCTTAACATTCTAAGCAAATTGATTTAAAACATCTTAATTAGCATCAATCACTGATTGAAGATTGTTGGGGTCAACATACTTTTACTTAGTCAAGAAATACTTGTTGAAATACTTCTCAGTAGCAACCTTACCAACAGTAGCATCTTCGAGATAAACCTAAACAGAAACAACTACAATTCTTTCGCTGTCATAAGGTTAGCTGTTGATAGCAGCTCTGATACTAGTGATAAATCCTTAATAATCAGTACCAGCAGACCAATGAAGATGATGGATAACACCCTTTGGTAACTTTGAGTAGACATGATTATAAAAAACGTCTTATTCGATTAATTCAAGAGTTTCGTAAGTGTACTCCAAATCATACAATGTTCCGTTTTCTCCAAGTTCTAAACTCTCGCTTGAGTTTTCAGTAATAAATTTATTAGATTAGTCTCTGCAGCTTTATAAGTATTGAGAGTACTCAGCATCTTTTTATACAAATTCATCATATAAAGGATCATTGATTTGAGACTTAGAAGGACTAAGCCAGGTATTGGAATCAGTAAACAAAAGTAGCTCAGAAAGCAAATAATATTAGAACCAGTAATCCTAAACATCACTATACTTGTGATTAGCAAAATAATCAACAAGTTGCTATTAAGACATATTCTTAAGTTCTTTCAATTTACCATTGACTTTTTGAGCATTTTAATCTCCCATTAATTTTTTAGCCTTTTCTAAAATGTCTTAATAAGGCTTTGAATTTCTTAAAGGAGCCTGGTGACTTCTTAGCTTCTTAGCTTCAACAACCAAAGAGCAGGAAAGAAGCAAAATTAAAGTGGTCGCTACTAAAATTCTATTCATTCTTTCTAAATATTTTTTCTAAAAATGTATTTCTTCTAAATTATATATTAATAATTAATTGTTTATAAAATCAGTCTAAAAATTCATTCAATTTAAGCAGATTAGAAAATTGTTTGTGTTTGATTAATTAAAAACGTATCTTTAGATAGATAACAATTACAAACTTTATTATATGTTTCTATGAATATTTTAAAATATTAGTTTTGAAAACAACTAAAAATGATGTAAAATATTTAAAATGTTATTAAGGTTTAATTGAAAAAAACAATAAATTTTTATTTTAAATATTATGTTTTGAATTTGCTTGATTTTTCATAGATTTTGTAGATTCTATTTATAAGAAACATATCAATAGAAAATAATTGACTTGAAAAGATCTTTATTTTAGGGTAAATATTAAACATCGTTTTTAGATAAATGCTTTTTTTGAACTTTTAAAATAACATTTTTTAAGAAGAAAATATTATTTTGTCAATAATTTTCATGCTATTTTTCCCATATTATATCTAATAATTGAATAATTTTAAAATAAATAATTTAGGAATTGAATTATAGACTCTATCTTATCTCAATATTTTTGTTAGGATCATTAGAAAAAACAAAATATTAAATTCTATATGCAGAACTATTTGATAGTTTGATAGTATTGCGATAGACATAAAGAAAAAAGATAATGAGATATAAAGAAGCAAAATTTAGTGATTAATAGATATTTTTAATTTAAATTTTTTGTATAGATTTCAAAAATTTATTGACAAATAAAAATTATCCTCATGATCTTTAATTTCTATCCGTTTTTGCTAAGATAAGCAGTTTAATAAAAAATAAAGAATCTTTGATTTTTTGAAATATCATCACAAAGAGCCAAAGAAAGTCTAAATTTATATTTGTATTTACCTTACAATCAGCACATTTTAGACATATCCAGTCAATTTAAAACTTTCTTCTAGTATTCTTGGTATCATTTATTATAAATCAAAACTTATTCTGCTCTTACAATTAAATAAATTTCTTATAAATAGTAAATTCTATAATATAATTTTAAAAAAATAAACTTTAAAAATAAAATTTGCCAATATTATTTTATGTTCTCAAGTCAATTTATTCATTTAGTATTTATTTAATTTTTTTTTAATCATTAAAATCAAAATTATTTTTAATCTGTTAATATAATTAAAAACTGATAAACTTACAGAACATTAAAATTTTTAAAATATTTTAAATTGAATTTTATTTAATTTATCAATTAAAAAATACACTAAATTCAAAATTATATAAAACATTTTAATGTAAATTTTTCTAATTTTATTAAATAAAAATTTAGCTTTGTGATCTAAAAAATATTTTTTAAGTTTTCAAAATAATTATATCTTGATTAAGTAGGGTCTTAATTAATTAATGAGGATTTACAGTAATTATTAATACCAATGTTTTTTCAAGTAGAATTTTGAATCAGTATATTAGTTTCAGTAATCAAAATACATCATAAGATTATGAATGATTTGGCTGTTTTTTAATAGCTTCTAAAGTTTTTTAAAAGCTTATAAAATGTTGGTAAATAAATAAAAAAGTATAAATTATGAATCAGTTATTTGCTTAAATAAAATAAAGTATTTGGATTTTACTTTAACTTTTTATTAATTTCTAAGTTAATTGTAAATAATTTTTAAAATATTAAAATTATTATTTATTTTTTTTAAAACAATTACTAAATTTTTTTATGTTTTTTATTTAAATAATAATGCAAATACATATATATATATAAATAGGCATTCCTTCATTGATTTATTTAATGTTTTGTTTTTCTACTAACGACTTTATTAGAAAATTTGAAAGAAAAATAGAAAGAATGAACAATGAATTGAAGCAAAAATTTATAAGTCAGCAATTAATCATTCATTCATTCTTTCATTGATTGATTGATTGAATTGATATGAAGTTAGTCACTGTAAAGATTTATTGTTTAAATTATTGAAATGAATTAATTTACAAGCAATTTAAAAAATAATTGACTGATTATTTGATAATTAGATTGATTAATTAATTAATTGGTTTATAAAGACAACTAACTATTAAAAATACTAAAAGAGTGTGCTAATAAAAAAGTAGGAATACTAAAAAGCAGAAGCAAGTATTGAAGAAAAAAATATATATAATTTTGCTAAGTAGGGAAAAATGGCGGAGAACTTGTCTGACTTGCACCACAAAATGTGCAAAAAAGTAGCATAATTAACCAAGGTTATATTCTTTTTGAATACGAAGAACGATGAGTATGAGTAGAATCTCAAAGCAGTAGTTTAAGCTTACGAGCAATAATTAGACTAAACAGTAAAAGAAGGCAATTAGATTATTACCAAATACAAAGAGGCTCTAGACAAGGCTTCTAAGAACGAAGATTTAGCTAATTAGGTGATGAAGATGAAACAGCAAATAGATCAAGAGAAGCAATAAAGTCAACAAGAGTTTACCAAATACAAACAGAAATGCGAAGAAAAAGAAGGTTAGTTAATTAGGGAATGTGCAAAGAAAATTGACACTTACAAACAAGAATGCGAAGGGTTCAAAGTTAAAATTGAATAATTAACTACAAACCTCGATAAGGTGATCAACAACTCAGAGTCGAATAAAAAAAACCACCAAAAGGAACTTGCAGATTATGTCAAAGAACAAAATGAAAAATACAACGACTTACTCAAAAAAAAGTTAGATTTAGAAGATCAGTTAGAAAAACGCGACGCCGAAATCGCCCAACTTAAAAAAAAAATTGATGAATTAAACAAAAAAATCATGGACGACTTGAAGAATCAAAAGGGATAATCCTAACAAATGCTTGAAGAACTTGTAACAAACAAAAAATCTTTCTTTTTTAAAAAATAAATTCAAACTTTCTATTTATTTTTAATGACGAAACCAATCTATGCTTTGATAAATTAATTGATATCTAACTTGACTTTTAATAAATCAAATCAAATCAAATATCAGTAGCTTATTTTTCTATCTTATTTAGTCTTTTCAGATGAAAGAAAATCACCATATTTTAAAAATTTAAATAAAGCAATTTGTTGAACTTAAAACTTTTTTCAATAAAAATGATTTTATTCAATTCAAAAATAAATTTTAAAGTTGAAAAGGTGTTTTTTAGGATTTTTAGATAAAATATTCCCTTTGAAAATCAATAACTGAATCATTTATTCAAAAAAATAAACGAAAATTTTTTAAATTAATTGATTTTCTTCGGATAACATCAAAAACCATAAACGAAAAATTGTTGTTTTTCTTAAGAATATTTAAAGTAAAGCAAAAAAATGTTTCAAAATAAAGAGTTTTATAATGTGATAATATATTTAGATTGAATATTTATCAATTTAAAAGAAAATATCAGTGGAATTAATTCTTCAACATTTTTAATTTGTTCGTTTATTAATTATTAATATCTGATCAAAAATTTATTGCAAAGAATTAATTTTAAAATAAAATAATTTAGATTGGTAGAATTATAAAATTTTGAATAAATATTTTAATTAAAATTTTTATAATAGCAAAATTTATTTAAAATTAAAAAATATATTTTTTTTTAAATAGAAAAAAAATTATGAGAACAAAATTGCTGATTTAGAAGGAAAGAATAAAGAATTACTTTAAAAAATACAATCTCTTGAAGCTGAAATCTAATCGCTTCGTATGTAGTTAAATAATAGGGAAACTGAATTAAAGACTGTTTCAGATGAGAGAAACTAACTCAAGAAAATGACTGAGAGATAAGCTCTGCAAATTTAAGAATAACAAAAAGAAATTGATGGGTTGAAGGTCGAAAAACAACAAAATTTTGAAAAAATCAAGCAGTTAGAAGTATTTTTTTTTTTTTGGATTTATCAAATATTGAAGAATATATTTAAAAGGCTGCAAATCAAGCACTTGAAAAGAAAATTAAAGACTATTAAGATTAGTTAGATAAATATGGTAAGGATAATAACATGAAAGACTCTGAAATCGGAACTTTAAGAAAGTAGTTTGAGAAGACTTTGTTTGATAAAAATGAAGAAATTAAAGGCGTACGCGCTTAATTGATGGAACTTTAAAAGCAATATGATTTATTATAAATTCAATTAAAAACTACTTAAGCCGAAAGAGAAGCTGAAAATAGAGAAAAGGATGCATAAATTGCTGATCTGTTGAAGCAAGTTAAAGCTCTTCAAGAAGAAATAGCTAGTCTTTCTAACAACTCTGAAGGACAACTCAAATAACTTCAAGAAGTAAATTTATTGAATAAAAGAAAAATATTTTAAATCTGTTTTTTTAATATTTCATAGAAACTTAAACAAAAAACACTTGAGTTTGAAGATTCTAAAAGAACTCTTATTGAAGATTACTCTAATCAACTCTCTGCTTAAGAAAAGAAATACTTGTAACAAATAGAAGACTTAAAGAGAGACTATGAGCAAAAGATACGTTAGTTGACTTAAGAAAATTCCTAAAAAGAAGCAAGCTTAATATAAAAGTACGAAGAATAATTAAAAGTAATTTTAAAATTCATTTATTTTAAATGATTTTAATTTAAAAAAAACATTGTTTTATAAAAGAAACTCAGAGATGAGATGGATGAATAAAAGAGATAATACGAGAACAATGCCGGTTCTATGGAAAAGAAGCTACAATAAACTATTGAAAAACAACAAGAATAAATTAATGGCTTGAACAAATAAATTACTGAGCTTTAAACAAGAATCTAAAACTTAGAGAATACAATTAACTAGAAAGACTTGGATGTATTTATTTATTTTAACATTGAATTCATTTATTTACTAACAAACTAACTAATTTACTTATTTATTTAAATACTAATTTATTTATTTGCTCTTTAGATTTTATTTTAAATTAATTTGAATTTTTTAACAGATAAATCAAAGAGACTCAATGATTTAATCTCTGAAGTAAACTATATCAGATCTTGAGATTAAATTTTAATAGCAAAATGCAGATGGTTCTTCAAGATAAAGGGAACTTGAAATTGAAATTTAGAATCTCAAAAAGTCTCTTGAAGACCAAGAAAGAAAATACAGAGATGAGATAGAAAGACTAAAAAATAATGCTAATGGTGAGCTTTCTGATACTATTGCTCGTATGAGAATCCAATATGAGGGAGAAATGAATGCTATGAGATCTTAACATTAGTCAGAAATTACAAGATTAGAAGTAATTTTTATTTTAAAGTTTATTTGTTTTAATGTTTGTTTTAATTTTTTTATTTTAAAGAGACAAAAAAATGAAGAAATAAAAAATTTGAGGGATTAGCTTAATTTGCTTAAAGAATAAATGCAAAATGATAGCTCTGACTTGCTTTCTAAACTTAAACAGAGAGAACAAGAATACGAAGATTAAATAAAACAAATAAACCAAAGACACAACTATGAACTTAAGTTGATTGAAGAAAAGAACTAGCAAATGCTAAATCAAACTAAGACTTATTATGAAGACGAGCTGAAGAAATTGAGAGAATAACTTGAGTTTGAAAAAACCAAAGCTCTTTAGAAATTACAAGATGAGAAGGAAGCTGAAGTAATTTATTAATTTAAAATAAAACTTTATTTTATTGTAATATGCTTTCATTTGAATGAAATAGATTGCTAAACTTAAATAAACTCACGAAGATAAATTGACTTCACTTTCCAAGAATTTCGATAAATAACTTGCTGAACGTCAACAAGAATTTGAAACTAAGATGAAACTTCTTTAGAAGAAAGTTGAGGATGAGGAAAAAGCTCATTTCTCTACTAAGGAAGAACTCAAAACAACTTAAACTAATCTTACTGATCAAATTAGCTAAAACAAAGACTTAAAACAAAAAACAGACAAATAAATTTTTGATATGTCTGCTGAAATCAAGGCATTAAAGCAATAAATGGAAGAACTCATCTAATAATAGACAGAGGCTTTACTTGCCAGAGATCAATAAGTCGAAGGTATCAAGAGAGATTATCAAAGAAAAGAAGTAAATAATAAAATTTAAATTAAATTTTAAAGTTAAAAAATATCAAATTTTTAATAAAATTAATAAAAAATTAAATTTTAAATAAAAATAGGAAGAAGTATTGAGAAAAGCTAACGAGTTGGTGAATAGAAAAATAGCCGAACAACTAGAATTCATTGAGCAAATGAAGATTGAATTCAACTAGGTAGAATCTGCTTTGACAGAGAAATATGTTCGCTTAGAAAATGAGTATTTTTTTATTTTAAATAATTGATAAAATTAATATTTTTATTGAATGTAAAGCTATAATGATCTCCAATAAATGTTTGAAGATAGACCTTCAAGACCAGAAGATATCGAAACAATTAAGTTGTTGCAAGCTGAAATCATGAGAAAGGAACAAGAAATAGGAAAACTTAATGAACAAATGAAATTCTTCAAGCTAGAATTAATTAACAGAGAAAACAACTATAATAAGATGTTCAACGCTAATCCTAATGTAGGTGTTATGAACCCTTTAGATTAAAAAGTAATTAATTTATTTATTCATTTACTTATTCTTATGTTTTGCAATTAAATTTTTATGTATTAAATTTAAAGGGATAAACAGCTATGAGAGTACTACCTTAAAGCAACAAGCTAATAAGCTAAACATCTGGACTGATTAGCGGAGGACAAAAAAGACCTAGCAAGAATAACGTTTGAAATGCAAACAAACAGATAAATAAATAAATTAATTAATTCATAAACTAAAATTAAAATCTATATAGAATAAATAATATACTACTAATAAACTAAAGATAAATAAATTCTATTAAAAATTGTCAATATATCACAAATAAATTATGTATTTATTTATTGTAGATTTATTCAAATACTTTATTTATGATGTGCTTCCTCTTTTTCTCTTTTTTGATATTTTTTGAATCATTAATTAATTAATTAATTAATTAATTATCTATCTGCAATTTTACAAAAAAACTGAATAAAAAATAATTTCACACACTTTGAATCAAAGCAGACAAAAGAATTTTCGTGTTGTAAAGAAAAATAAATTAAATAAATCTTAATAAAATATTTTTTTGGTATAAATTTATATGAAATAAAGACCATAAATCTTCATTACTAAAGGCAAAAAATATTTCATAAAATTTACTAAAAACATGTTATTGCAAATAGAAAATCTATTTTTATAAATTACATACTAAAGAAAAACTATATTGGAAAGGTTGATTTAAAGTAAAAATTATAAATTCCTTTCCTATCAATGCCAATGGAGAATAAAATAAAATGTTTAAATTTAAAATAAAATTTTAAATGAATAAATAAATAATAAACACAATTAGAATGAAAATAGAAATTAATATAATTTTAATTAATTTTAAAAATATTAGTATTTTTAAAAATATTTTTATGTAATTAATTTATATTTAACTAGCCATATTTATTTAACAACCAATTTAAAAATTTTTAATAAAAAAAGTTTATAAGCTCTTAACTTTCATCTCATTAGGTTCTCCATATTGATCTGAGGTATATTTAATTAAAAAATATTATTTTTATTATTATTAATATTTTTTATATAATTAAATTTCAATTGATTATAAATAATTTTTATTATAGAAATTATCATCAATATTCATTGATTGATTTTTATTAAAATAAAAAATTTTTAGCTTTTTTAACTTAATTTTCATTTCAATTTTTAATTATTTCTTATTCATTTTTTATTTTGATATTTTTTCTTCATTTTTTGCCATTAAAACTTACACTTAAAAAAGCAGTTTATTAGTTTTGGATTGTAATATTTTTAATTATAAAAGTTAATTTAAAACACTAAAGCTAGCTCTTTTAGTTTATTTGATTTCTTTTCTATTTATAATGTTTTCTTTAATTATTAATAAATCTTATTATTTCATATTTTTTCTTTATTTTTTCCTTCTAATTAACGAGAGTGAAATGCCTATTTAATTTATAAAAGGTAAAATGTAATATATTTTAAAAACATAATAAATAAAGCTAAATTAGCTTAAAACAGCTT